CCCTGCTGTGCAGCTGACTTCCCCCTAAGGTTGCCAATCTCCAGGTGGGACCTGGAGATCTCCCACTGTTACAATTGATCTCCAGATGACAGAGATCAGTTCCCCTGGAGAAAATGGCTGCTTTGGAGGGTAGACCCTATGACATTATACCTGCTGAGTCCTTCCGCCCCGTCCCCCCAATTCTGTCCTCCACAGGATCTACCCTCCCAAATCTCCAGGTATTTCCCTACTTAGAGCTGGCAACCCTACTTTCCCCTCAGTGCCTGTTGGTAGGCAACTAAGCTTGGTCCTGTCACCTATTTTGGCCTTTGGGAGAAAACACATTGGGCCCAGTCATAGGGTTGCCAACTCCAGATGGGAAATTCCTGGAGATTTGAGGAATGAAGCCTGAAGAGGGTGAGGTTTGAGGAGGGGTGGGACCTCATACAGGTACAATGCCATAGGCTCCACCCTCCAAACCAGCCAGTCCCTCATGGGGAACCATTGTTGCCAATCTCCAGGTGAGGGCTGGAGACCACTCAGAATTACAACTGCTCTGCAGAAGGGAGGGCAGAAGTCAGCTGAAGTCAAAGGGGCAGATAATGTTAGGTTGATGGTTAGCTGGGAAGGAGATGGGGTTGCCAACTCCAGATGGGAAATTCCTGGAGATTTGAGGAATGAAGCCTGAAGAGGGTGAGGTTTGAGGAGGGGTGGGACCTCAGACAGGTAGAATGCCATAGACTCCACCCTCCAAACCAGCCAGTCCCTCATGGGGAACCATTGTTGCCAATCTCCAGGTGAGGGCTGGAGATCACTCAAAATTACAACTGCTTTTCAGGTAGCAGAGATCAGTTCCTCTGGAGAAAACAATGGACTCTGTCATTATACCCTGCTGAGGTCGCCACAGCAAATTGACACTGTTTGCCCAAAACCGGGGCACTCTCCCATATACAACCAGTAATGTATTTTTCAGATATATATATATTCAGCTCGAATATATCCAAATGCATATCTGTATTCAGAAATATTATTTTTTTCCGGTACTGCTCTTGTATCACTTGCTATTCTAACCCTAAGAAGGATCTGCAGGGTCCCTCCATCTTCCCCACAGATTGCCTGGAAAGCTGGCTGCTTCTGTTACAAGCTTGCCAAGCAACTGATTCATCCGGAGTCAAGGGTCCTTCTACCATCGCGATTGCTGTACCATCTCCATGCGTAGGAAACAAATACCACTTCAGCTGCCTAATCCATGTTTTCCACCTCAGCCAGTTATGCACTAAACATGCAACATTTGGCAGAGCCGGTCCTTCACCAGTTTCAAAGGACACCTGCAATGTCTTCTGGGAATGTCACCATATGCGAGACTACAAACAGACAGTGCAGATTAAAAAAGGCATTAAAATTTCATAAATATGTCAAATAGTGCAACTTTATAAACAGTGTGCTTTAGGATAAATCAATAAAAATGCTTAGACTTCTTAACGAAGTTATTGCATATACTTCCGTTCTCCAAAACGTTCCATTCCCCCATGGCTTTAAAATTTCCAGAAATTTTACATTTTTATCCATGACTGGGACAAGACAGTATTTGAACTTGTGTGAGTTGTGGCAGAGCTGGTGCTACAGGGACGTGACAGACACCTGCCGTTTTCTCCCTGTTGGCTGCAAGTTCCCTCCTGTGCATCTGACCTCTGACCTTTCTTTTGAACTTTGGGAGTGGCATTTCAGGAGGCAGAAGGAACTGCGGGTGCAAAGGGGGTGGCCATCAAAATCTTTTAGGGTGAGCTCATTCTTTTTGTGGCCACGTAGGATCCAAACTGTTCTTTTATGGCAGGAAGATCAGGTGATTGGAGTTGGAATCCCACTAGACAGCCCCTATTTTTTGTTTGTGCTGAAAGTAACTCTTTGAAACTCTGACATAGATGCTGATGTGTCATAGCAATGATGTAAAGTGCTGTAAGAGTTTTTAATTTTTACTATGGGGTTATATTTATGTGTGTTAATTGTAAAATACATTCACGTCAGATAGAAACTGTCTGTAGAGTGGTACACTAAGATGCGTAGGTAGTGGGTGAGAGATTCAGGAAGACGCAACTTTAATGCATACTAATCTAGTAGTGTTTGGCAATAACCTTGCTGATATCAAATTTCTTTTAGATTCAAATTTAGACATTACAATTGGACATGACACATGTGGAGAAACCTCTTCAGAGAGTTACAGTTCTCCTTCTAGTCCACGGCATGATGGAAGGGAAAGCTGTGAAAGTGAAGAAGAAAAAGACAGAGGTTGTATTTGTGGAGCATGTGTGTGTGTAAAATAATCTTGACACTCACAGATGGTGGTACACTAGAAGTATACAGAATCTGTTTAGTACTCTTCTCTTTTCATTTGGATTGGTGTTCACAGTAAAACATCAGGGGTAGATTTCCACAACTTTTACTGTGGTATCATTCGTTAGAATATGATAAATTCAGAATTTGGAACTTTTATGTGCAAACGAGTCTCATTCTGAGATCTACCATGTCTGTGTCACTGTCAGGAGCTCTTCTCTCTAGCTGACTCAGTACTGTCTTTGTAAGAACTAAATATCTTCAAAAACAGTATGCTCCATCGAGCCTTACGAAGCTCCTATTGTTCTTCATGGTCTCTGTGCATCACACTGATGGGGGGACTCATGTATGTCCAGACCGAAACTGAAAAAACTTCAGAGCTAAGCTTAAGGAGATTTTTTGGCACTCTCTCCACCTACATGTTGTCAATACACATACTCATAGGGTGGAATCAAGCTTCTTGCACAGTACTTCTTCATTCACTGCACTGAAGACATGAAGAATTTCTGTCTATACCTTCTCATGAGCTAGGCTGTTTTTTCACTAATTAAGAGGAGGATGAGGAAGAAACCTGTTCTCAAACAGTGGTTTCTCTTTTTCCGACCTAAGTCTTTCCCTTTGGAGATCAGGGGACACCAAGTTTTTTCTCCATTCCCCCCCCCCTTTTTTCCCTTTTCACCTTTTTTCTGCTCCTGTTTATGGAACAGAAAACCATTAAGCATTACATCATCTATGAGGCCCAGTTGTCTATTAGAGACAGCCGTGCCAAGTGTCTACTTCTAGAGAACAACATCAGGTTGGGTTCTTGTCCTCATTGAAATTCATAACTCAAGCTGAGCCCTTGGCTTTGGAAATGGCTGTCCCCTTTTCATCAAGGAAGGATCCGGTTAGCTCCAAACGTCCCTTTAAATTTAAACCTTCCCCTTCTACTGACCTGAAGCAGGAGAAGAGGGGATAAGGGCCATTAGAAGCTGCCTTCCTCATTTTTCCTGGTGTCCGCACCAGCCCCCCCTGCCCACTTTCAGCCCAGGATCTTCTGACCACTACAACTGCCCTCAACCAATCTGTGCACTCTTCTATTTGTTCCCATACTGGAGGGATTCCAGGCTGCCCTTCCAACACCCGCACCCTTTTCAACGGTGGTGGAAGAATATGTTGGTTTGGCTTCTGAGGGCCTATTGAAGATAACTTGTGTTGATGTTGCCTCTTTCCTGATGCACTGATACCACTCCTGGGAAGAGCCTAGCAAGTGTTCCTGTTATCACTTGACTCTCCCCTTAGATTGTGAGAGCAACCCTATTATGGCTGACTGTCATCCCAAGAACCTTCACCTAGAGGCAGACATCACTCTCCCTGCAACTCTAGAGACTGCTAGCACTCATGGAGTCTTCCCCAGTCACTTAAGTACTGGTTGAGGTCCTCTCCTTCTTAGATTCCCTGAGACAAGTGTTGCATGCCGCCTGAACAGTACTGCACTCTCAACCTGCCCAGAATACCTTCTGCATTTGCACTCCTGTTATGCCTCAAAACAACATGCTGGTCCTTTGAGGAAACCTTTTGCGCCTTCCGTCTACCAACCACTCTTGTGATTCGAACCAGTACCAAAATGCCATGTGTTGGGGTTGGGACTCTTCTGCACCTCAGGGACCAAGTTGCGCCTTGTCCTCTCCGAGCACTGACGGTTAGATGGCTTGGGATCTACACATCTGAAACCAGCCATCTCAAGATCAGGTACCCTTGCACTCACAACCTACTTCCCTGCCTGCAGACAGAAGGCCTGTTCCTCTCCAACAGGCAGGGAGGGACAAACTTTTAGATAAGCTTGGCTTGTAAATGTTGGGGCTAAGAGAACAGCAATTCAGCTCTGCTCACCACTTTGCAGATTGTAGAGCCAAGTCACTGGCCAGTGCTGTCACTTTATGCCGCCGTGCCTAGCTGCATTCTGCGTCACTAACAGTGGACGCCCAGATAGAATCATACAGTCATAGAGTTGGAAGAGGCCATACAGACCATCTAGTCCAACCCCCTGCCCAATGCAGGACCAGCCTAAATCGTCTCTGACAAATATTCTTCTTGAAAGTTGTCAGTGAAGGGGAGCTAACCACTTCCCTAGGCAGCTGGTTCCACCTTTGAACTACTATGACTGTGAAAAGGTTTTACCTAATATCCAGCCGATACATTTCTGCATGTAATTTAAACCCGTTGCTTCAGATCCTATCCTCTGCTGCCAGCTGGAACAGCTCCTTGCCCTCCTCCAAATAACAGCCTTTCAAATATTGAAAGAGAGCAATCATGTCCCCCCTCAATCTCCTCTTCTCCAAACTTAACATTCCCAAGGCCCTTAGCCTTTCCTTGTAGGGCTCAGTCTCCAGACCCTTGATCATCCTCGTCGTTCTGTTCTGCACCCCTCTCGATTTTGTCCACATCCTTTTTGAAGTGAGGCCTCCAGAGTCCAGAACTGCACACAGTACTCCAGGTGTGGCCTGACCAATGCAGTATACAGAAGGGGCTATGACCTCCTGCGAATTCGATGCTATGGCCCTTTTAATACAACCCAAGGCTGAATTTGCCTTTTTTTGCCACCGCATCACACTGACTGCTCTTATATAGTTTACAGTCCACCCTTACCCCGGGATCTCTTTCTCATACACTACTCCCCAGAAACGTATCCCCCATCCAGTATTTGTGCTTGACATTTTTGTGGCCCAGATGTAATACTGTGCATTTATCTTTGTTGAATTGAGTCCTGTTTGCAACTGCCCACTTCTCCAGAGTATTCAGGACTTGTTGAATTTTAACTTCATCTTCTTGGGTGTTTGCTACTCCTCCCAATTTGGTATCATCAGCAAATTTAATGAGTAGGCCTTCTACCCCTTCATCCAGATCACTGAGAAAAATATTGAAAAGTACCGATCTGCATACAGGACTTCCCATTCAAAGGAGAAGGCCTTTTCAGCTCCAGAGTGGGTGATGCCTTCAAGAAGTTGAGGAACTCAGGTCCACTGCACACTCTGTGGGCCTGTCATCTGGGCCCTGACCTCAGTGGCAGTGCTCTTACTATTGCCCATGTCAGAGACTTAACCTTCATCTCTTCCTCTTGCTGTTCAGCTCCTTCCTTCTCCGGGGAAACCTTCTGTAAGTCACAATTGACATTGCAGCGCTCCAACACTACAGTGTCTTCCTCGTGCATCCCTTGACCATTTCCCTCACTCCCCCTAGACAATCCTGTAGCTTCAAAACAGTCTTCCAGTCTAGGAATGCATTGCTGATGATGCCTGGGAATTTGCATTATTTGCATCAGTTATGCCTTAGAGTTCCAGGTCATGCCACCCACTTTGTTTGCTGTTCCGTCCCGTCTGCCCTGAAGCCTCATTTTTCGCTTTCAAAGGATGCCATCAATCCTGTTTCAGCCTCTGAAAAAGAGACAAGATTCTCTTCCCACTTTCATGCCGCCCAAGAGAGATGGTGGCCTGCACCCAATCCTGGACTTCTGGTGGGCGAGCGGTTCCGTCCTCCACAAAAAAGATTTGGATAGTCTCCTTGGATACCATTCTGCCCCTGCTGGCCAAAAACGTGTGTTGCATCAGTCGATCTACAGGACGCGTACTTCCATATTGGAATTGGACCCCAGCATCATGAGTTCCTGCCTATTGCAAGAGGTCCATCCCACTGTCAGGTATTTCCATTTGGCGTATCAGTGGCACAGCATATCTTTGCCAAGTGTGTGGTAATGGTAGTGACTCATCTTTGTCAATTAGGAATAGCCATCAACCTTGGTGATTAGCTAGTTGTGGGCAGATCCCAAATACCTTTTCTTGCAACGCCTTCACACCCTCCTTCAGCTCTCTTCCAACTGAGTCTAAAGCTGAGTGCTGTAAAATGCCAACCCTCAATGACTTGGCAAATCAATTCAATAGGGATTATCATCTGCTTGATAACTGATTGGGCCCCTCTTCTTTTAGACAGAGCCCTCATGATTATCCATCTGAAACTCCTGTTTCATTCAACAACCCTTCCATCCCACCCTGCTGATGTAATGCCTCCTGCATTTCATGGTGTCATAGCACTATCTCCAACTCTGGTTCAGTAGAGCCTTCAAGCCTGTACTTCATAGCCAGTCTTGAATTCTTCATGTTCCTACCATGGCCCTCGTCTCGCTACAATGGTGAGCATAACTTGGCTGTCTTCCTGGAGATAGTTGGATTCTCATCTATTAAAAGTTTCTTGAGAGCCAGTGTGGTGTAGTGGTTAGGAGCGCGGACTCTGATCTGGGAGATCCGTATTCATCACTCCTCCACATGCAGCTGCTGGTGTGACCTTGGGTCAGTTATAAGTTCTTTCGGAGCGATTCTCGCAAGAGCAATCCTCAAAAGAGCTCTCTCGGCCCCACCTACCTCACAGGGTGTCTGTTGGGGGGGGGGAGAAGACTGTAAGCTGCTCTGAGACTCCTTCAGGTAGTGAAGGGCGGGGTATAAATCCAGTCTCCTCCTCCATCATCCAGGCACTCAGTGAAAGCATTCCCTTTACTTCAGGGAGTCTGGATATTGCCATAACCAAATGCCGTGTTATGGGATTGGGGCACTCATTGTTGAGAATTTCCTTCAGTTGTCCATGGATTGCCCAAGAAGCCACTCTCCACATCAGCATCCTGGAGCAGTTAGCAGTCCCCAAATGAATCAATATATTCTGCTCCATTCTGTGCATCTGGAAGGCTCCACTACTGAAAAAGCTTTGGCTACCATCCACCTTGCCTCTGGTGAGGAAGATCTTAACTGGCAGGCTGGACAGTATGGGAGGAAGACAGTGAAGATGTCACGGAAGGCAGGGTTTCCTGTACATGTACTTTCCAGGGCCATTGTCAAGATCTTACGGGATCTGACCAACTGTATACTTATAAGTAATGCTCCCTCTAAACTGTGGAGTCTTGTGAGCAAAAATCCTACTTTGTGAGCGAGTGATTTGGCTGCTGCATAAGATAGTTTGCCATGGAACCCTCCTTCATGAGCTAAAACAAAAATGTGTGAGCTCCAGCTTAGAGGGAACACTGCATAACCCTCTTCTGGCCACACCATACTTGGTTTCCATCTGATCTTTGCTTAGCTAGAGGGATTTTTCTCAGCTTCCTACCTCTCAAGGATCTTCCCAGGACGGAAGCCTGATTCTGTAGCTAGACCTCATCGAACTGAAGCTGACCATGTGGAGGACCTGACCTTCTGCTGCTCTGCCTCTACCGTGTCCTTCTGAGTTCCAGGAAACGTGAAGACATTTCTGCTTGTACTTGTCCTCCACAAGTCTGGATCCTGCATAGTGTAGAGTGCCTTCTATCCTTGCACGACTGAGATCTCACTATCTCATCTCTATTTGTGCCCCTTGCTCTAGTTCTATGTACTATTCTGCTCTCACAGGCCTTTGTGTTCTTTGTTCTCATCTATGGCAGTTTTCAAAGAGCTTTCTTATACTTTATCCTCCAGTTCCCATGTGGAACCTTTAGTTCTGCCCAGTGTGCAGGTGAACTCTGTGCTCTGTGAGCTGTCCCTCTGTATCTCCATTTGCACCCACACAAGGAGATCCTACTCCCTGGTCCCACCTTCTTCCAAAGACGCTCAGCTCTTTTCACCTCGACCAATTCATGGTCCTACTGGTATTCCTGAAAAATCTTTCCTTGGAAGGGGAAAGAACACATGCCCTACGCATGTGCCAGGCCCTCGCCTCCTATCTAAACAAAACCGCAACCTTTCATAAGTATCCCCATCTCTTTATATGCTGTGGTTGGCCAGAAAAAGGGACCTCACACACAAGCTAGTAGATACCTTGATGCATCTCGCTTTTCTACCGGCTGGCAAAGCAGCTGTGATCAAAACCACCCTGCAGGTTGCTTTACTAGGGCTTTGGCCAGCTCTGTAGTTTTTGTTCGAGGCATACCTTTTCCAGATGTCTGCAAGGTGGCAACCCAGTCACAGCCTTCAACCTTTGTATGTCACTTCTTAAATGTCACAACTTAAACATTCAAGAGCCCGAAAGGACATGGCTTTTGCTCAAGCTGCACTGAACACCTTGTTCCAGTAAGACATTCCTGTTTCCATCTGCAGTGGGAACTGGTAGGTCATTTTACTAGTCTTATTCTATCAGTGTGATGCTCGGAGACCATGAAGAAGAACAGATTGCTGACCTGTAACTGATGTTCTTCGAGTGGCGGTCGTCTGTGCAGTTACGCAGCCCCATCCAGTTTCCTCACAAGCAGGTGCTTCCTTTTTCTCTCCTATGTTTTTGGGAAGAAAGAACTTGGTGGAAAGTGCAGCTCCGCCCTCTCTAAGCCATCAGGTGCTCCAATGGGTGCAGCCAGTGCTGAAAACTTTCCTTAATCTTAGCTCTAGATATTTCTCTGGTTTGAATCTGTGCATCCTCAGTTCTTGTCAGCATGACTGCACAGACGACCACTCAAAGAACACGTTACAGGTAAGCAACCTGTACTTTTCTACACTCTTTTTTCTTAAACCTATATTCAGAGTGACTTGCCTTTGTTAACCCTCTAGAGCAACAGGTAGCTTTTTGTTGCCTACAATTTTGCCATCTACCTCATATAATCTTCCTGGTTTCACTTTTTATTAATCTTGATTTGTTATCTGAATGTAAAGAAGAGTACTGAAAGGGGAAAGCAAGTAATATGAACACTTTGCTCAAACTTGTCTTTTTTCTGCTTGGCTCGTTTTTGAATAGATGCAACTTTTATGTCAAACATTTTATATTTCAGTTTTAAAGAATAGAATTTCAGCAGTAAATGATTGTAGCTTTTTGCTTTCAGCAATTAAAACTGGATTCCTACGTATTTGTAGATAACTGTTTTGTAGCTCACCCACTGGACAATTAATGCCTTAGATATCACTGCCCAGGGTAGTTTGAAAAGCACATTAGTGGTGACACAACTTGCCTCATAATCATTATCTTTGTGCTGTCACTTGTGGCACAGGGTTTATTACAAGTAGCACTGCAAGTAGTAATACTTGAAAGTTTTATCTGTACAGTTTCTGTGGTGCCTGTTCTGATACATTTTTAGTCTAGATACATGAAAACCATGAATACCTCATTGTGGAGAATGCAGGGTATACATTAGGGGCGTGCAAGACCACCCCACCCCCCCGCTATTTTTCAGGTTCTGGTATACTGAACCCAAAGTATATTGGTATTTCCTGATATCCTTGAATCCCAATACCAGCATGGTATTTGGATTTGGTAAATGTTGGGATTGCTGAATTTTTTTGGCTCCATTATACCCTATGGGGGACCATTATACTCAAGGGTCCCCATAGGATATAATGGAGAATTGATCTGGGGGTATCTGTGGCTCTGTGGGGGCTGTTTTTTGAGGTAGAGGTGCCAAATTTGCAGCATAGGTGCTAGTGCCTCTCCTCAAAAAACTCCCAAGTTTCAAAAAGAATTGACCAGGGGATCCAATTATGTGGGCCTCAGTAGAAGGTGCCCCTGTCCTCCATTGTTTAAAGGGAACATGGTCACTTTAAACGCCTTTTGCAAGCGGTGGCTGAACTCCAAAGGCATTTAAAGGGCTCACAGACCCTATAAATGCCTTCTCCAAACCACATCTTCACCCAGAAGGTGTTTAAAGGGACCGCAGTCCCTTTAAACACCCTTTAATGCTAGCTATACGGCAGCCCTGGAAAATCCCAAATATTTTTGATTTTTTGGGCTCGGCCGTATCAGTTGTCGGATAAATACCCCTGGGTGATATCCGGCTGGAAAAATACCCGAAAAATACCAGTAAGGTATTTTTAAGGCTGTTACCTGGCTTGGATAAACCAGAAGCACACTCCTAACGTATATGAATCAGAAATCCAGAATTTGTAAGCAGCTCCAGTTGACGCAAATAACAATCTTTGACCCTTTTTTGTCACTGTTGTATAATATCCCATGTGATATTATAGCAGTCTGAGGAGTTTAAACCTGGGGAACCTCTAAAAAAAATTGAATGTTAACAGTTTAATGATGCCTTGTTTTCCCATAGATACAGACAGCAATTCTGAAGATTCTGGCAACCAAAATGTGTTGAGATTTACTGCTTACAGCACTGGAGATATCAGTAATTCACCTGCACATATTTCAGTGAGATCACAAAACGGAACGATTGTAGAAGATCCTCTAAGTTCACAGTTTCAAAACATTTCCTTTATGCACTGTATGATGCACAACGGTGCACAGAAACCCGAGACAGCAATTCCACCACGTATATCTCCTGACAGAAAAACTTTGGGAATGGTCGGTGGTGGTCCTGTTCTCCATTCACCAATGAGAGAGCCTGCGAACTCAGCTGTTGGAATGGGCTCAGCTGGTGAATCTGAAAAACACACTGAACTTCTTTCTTCCCCTTTGCCGGCCGCCTTCCTTCCATCCGCGATCCAGCCAACAATACACAGAATGAAAATCTCTTCACCGCAGACCTCGTCTGAAGGTTGCACCGTTGGCAGTCTGCAGCAGCAAACGGGGAATTTAAGCATTGGCTCACCAAACACTGCCTTTATCCCAGCCCACAACCCGGGTAACTTTCCAGGATCCACAGTTTCTACTACAGACCCGATGTCAAAACCTGCATCCCACGTTTTGGGCCTCAATCAAGTGGTGCCTCATATTGAGGGAAACGCTGGAGTGATCCCTCCGCCTTCCAATCTAAAAGTAGTCGTTCCTGCAGCTGGTCTCTCAACAGGACTCCCGCCGGCTCCTTTTACTGTACCAGTGACTCTTCATACTTCCAGTGTGTTGCCCAATCAGAGTACAACCGTGCTGAACACTGTCGCCTCCACACCGCCTCCATCATCCGGTCTGTGTGTTAGTCAGGTCCAGCCTACTGTTCCTCCGGCGGTACCTACCCACACGCCAGGACCTGCCCCTAGCCCGAGCCCTGCTCTAACACACAGCACCGCACAGAGTGACAGCACGTCCTATATCAGTGCTGTTGGGAATACTAATGCTAATGGGACTCTGCTATCTCCACAGCAATTGGGGTCTGGGCCGTGCGGGTCTTGTGGTCGCAGATGTAGCTGTGGGACCAATGGGAATCTTCAAGTTAACAGTTACTTTTATCATAACCCACTTCACGGACAAGTCTACAGAGTTCCACCTTTCTTCCCTCTGCCGTCGCTTTGTAATGGTAGCTACCTCAACCAAGCACACCAGACTAACGGAACGCAGATTCCTTTTTACTTGCCTCGGGCCCCATATGCAAACGGGCTGATGCATGACCCAGTAATGGGGAGCCAAACCAACTATGGTATGCAGCAGATGGCAGGATATGGGAGGTTCTATCCTGTGTATCCAGCTCCAAATGTAGTTGCCAGTGCTAATGGATCAGGGCCCAAGAAGAATGGGAATGTGTCCTGTTATAATTGTGGTCTTAGTGGGCACTATGCACAGGACTGTAAGCAGTCATCCATGGAGGCCAGTCAACCAGGTAATCACAACTCCCCACACAGTTGCTTCTGAGTCCACTTCTCTTATTGACCCTGCTGCCCCGTCCCGCTGTCCGTGGTTTGTATGACTCTGTGCGATTGGCTGTGATTTCCCATTTTGTAGTTTGTAATAGGCCCAAATACTTACATCACCCTAAGGGAACAAAGAGAATTTTCACTGACAACCAAGTGAGCTTGGCCATAACCTCTCTCAAGGAAAAACGAATCGGAACTAGCTTAGTAAACTTCTCTGGCTGTTAGAAGTTGTGCTGCCAAAATGTGATTCTGTGTTAGTGGCAGAACCCAAAGCAGTCAGAAACAAACCTTTTGGCTTTTAAAATGATTGCTCACGTGTGTTTCATATGTTGTATGCTTGATCAAAGTAAAATGGGTTGTTTGTACCTATGCATAACTAGATATTCAGTTGTCTTTCTCCTCTATCTTGGTAGATCAGAGGTATTTGTTACAAAGGACGTAGATGTGCATACATGTGAATAAGCTATTGAAGTTGAGGGGTGCCATCATCTGCAAAATTTAAATGTTTGCAGATGGTAAAAATAATATTTTTTTTTCTCTTCGCTTGTTTCTGGCATATTTGCATCCTGAGAGAGATGAGAGGGGAATTCCAGTTTGGTAGCCCTGAAATTCTGAAGCTGTCTGCTTTTAGAGCTCAGAGCTTCAGAATTCCAGCATGTCATTGGAATGGGTGGAAATACTTCAGAATTTCAAGTCTACTCATTTGCTTGATGTTGATTGTGGAGAAATGTTTTCAGAATGACTTCTTTTTATTTACAAACCAACTTACAGGTGGGCTATGCAACCTCAGAAGCCTCCCTATGGATAGTAGCATAGCCTTTTGGGAGAGTATGTTCACTTTGCTGCTTTTTAGCTTTTTATAATTTTATTCTAAGTGTAAGCAGTGACTTAGTAAGTTCTTTTTCCTGTTCTAGGCACTTACAGATTGAGATATGCACCTCCCCCACCCCCTTCTAATGATACGTTGGATTCTGCTGACTGAAACCAAGTAAACATTGCCTCCATACCAAAACGAAGGTTGGGAAATCTGGGGGATTCTTTGGATTTTGAGAGGTTCCTTGTGCGTGTGTTTTGTTTTTGAAATATTCTATTGCATTTTCTTCCCCCATTGCTCATAGCTTCTGTTCTAATATGAAAGGAGAAAGCAGTTTTGCTCCTGGTCTGACTTGCATAAAGCATGTTGCTATCTCAGCCAATCAATCCGATGAGCATTTGAATGACTAGACTTTTGCACTGAAGACATAACACATGCAATGTTTACTGCATTTTTTAAGAAGTAATTTGACCTCCGACAACACTGGTTTGAACAGCCATATGGTTGAAAAGAGAAACTGGGTCATGCTTCCTAAAGTCATCTTCCACCTCCCCCCTCCTCATGCTGCTCTTGAATCTTCTTGCCCTCCCTTAGCTGGGTCTGCGTGTCTCCCTGGGACCGGGCGGGATGTTCAGCCGTTCATCTAGATCCTGCCCATAACACTAGTAACTAAATTGCTCTGTCCGTGAACCCATGGGGGCACTGGTTTCTTGATAAACTGAAAACCCTCAACAGTACATATGCATTATTTGATCAATATATAGCTCTTACGTGCCTAAATGAGAATACATGGGATTGGGGAAGGCTTAAAACAATGTGGACCTTAAAACTAATTTCTGAAATAGAAATAAGTTGAACAATTTTCCTTAGTTTTGTGTTTATTTTTTTAAGCCTGTTGATTCTAAATTTGGGGGGGGGGGTGGCAGGGGGACTGGCCTGAATGCCTTCTCAGCTTGTGTGTCCGCATCTGTGATGAAAGTCGGCAGTGAGCGAGTACCTTTTGTGCTCTAGTTTGTCAGTACAAAAAAAAAAAAAATTACTTGATCTTAACTTTCCCCCTTTAGGCTATTTAGGCTATTGCAGTGTTGTTATTTTAGAATGTAAAATGGCTTATTTCAGTCTGGACAGAAGCCTCTGTGTATTCTGCAGAACCGAATTGGGTATTTATGTACCAGAACCAGTCTACCAAATAGCAATGTCACTTTCTTATGACAATTTACCACTGTGTGATCACGGTATAATGTGAAAGACTCCAGTGAGTGTGAAGATTGATCATGTTTGTGTCATGTCACCAAGTTTTAACGCTGCTGTATTTTATTTCTAAAAGCCAATATATCCTAAATTGCTTCCAGATAATATTTTTTGATTTCTTAAATGCACTGAATTTATCTGGAAGAAGACTTCTGACTGTTGAAATGAACACTGAACCACCACAGTTTGTGTATCCATAGGTATTAGCATTCCTCACAATTCATAGCAGAAATATAGATTTTACTTATTTGAGGGGGGGGGTGAAAATAGATATACATGCAGCAGAACAAAGTCCCTTTTGGGTTCAGTCAACCAACTGCTAAAGGAAAAAAACTTGAAAACTTGATTTACTACATTTCTTCATAGATAGCATTTATATTTATAGCGCCAATATATTTTGAAATTGTGGGAGTTAAAGGGGTAGAGGAGAGCTTTAATTTAAATAAAACTAGCATAGGAAATTATTTTGGTTAAAATGTTTTATTTGCTCCGGGTATCTTGGACCATATTAAAACGGAAATAACTGCTTCTGAGTTTAGTGAGGGTGTGAAAGCACCAGTGGACTCGCATTCTGAATTATCTGCCAGTTTATTGGACTTATTTTATGATTTAAGATACTGTACTGTAAATGGGAGGTACGTCGCCTTCTCTTTATTTGTATGTTTACCATATACTTTGATATTTGAAATGTTATGTACTGGAAAGGTCACTTATATTTCTAGAACAGATTGGATTTTATGCAGCATTTTTCCTTGAATTAACAGCAATAAAAAGAGGGGGGAAATCACATTTGCAGACGCTGTACTTAATTATTCATGACAGCAAAATTGCCTATTTTTCCTGGGCGAAGACTGAAAAATTGTCATCGACATAGCCAGCTCCCAAGATTCTAAACAAGATAGCACCTATTAGATGGAACAGTTCACAAGTGAGTTGGGAAGAGCAAGAATAATTTCCTAACCAAGCTAATGTCTAGGTCAGGCCAGGCTAGAAATGCCCTAAAAACATGTTAAAGCTTTACAGATGATGTGGGGTAACTGAGCCTTATTACTCGGGGGGGGGGGGGGGGCTGTTCTCACACTGTTCCTGGTTACACAGACGGCTTCCACCCACACTCTCAGTTCAAATGTTCACCTTAATCTGTGATCTGCACATTTTCACATGTGTGATTTTTAAAAAACTGGCTGGCATATTCAGATCTCTGCTTCTTCCTTAGAGTACCCTCTTCAGAACAGGATGCATAGGAGGGACTTGCACCCCCATTGGGGGGGGGGGGTGTCGTTTACTTACATGGCTTTGTTGAAGCATGTGTCCCTCCCTTCTCTGTGGTAAATCCGAGAAGTCATGTGAACTGAGGAGAGGGTTAAAACATAATCTGCAAGAGGAAATTAGAGCAGAGTATAAATGTCAGGAGACATAGAGGGAACAGCCCAGGAAAGAAAAAATAAATACATCAAAACAAATGAGGGCAGCCCTAACCTGGATAACCCAGGCAAGCCCGATCTCGTCAGATCTCAGAAGCTAAGCAGGGTCGACTCTGGCCGGTACTTGGATGGGAGACCTCCTCGGAATACCAGAGGCGGGAGGCAGGGGCAGGCTTTATTCAGCCACCTCTCTGAATATCCTCCAGGCCCCCAGTAGGGGTCAGTCACCAGAGGTCGCCATGACTTCCAGGTGCACACGCACACACACATTTATAAAAAACAACAAATGAGAGCCCACAGATCTGCAAGGAATTGCTGTTATGTTGGATGCGAACCCATCATTGTTGTTGAGGTTATGGACCTCAGTGGATAGCTGTTAATGGAACAAATATTTATTTATATCATTTATCCCCCTGCCTTTGGGGACCCACAGTGGATTACATTGTTCTCCATTTTACCCTCACAGCAATTGTGAGGGTAGGCTAAGCTGAAGAGTGTGTGACTGGCTCAATATAATCCAGCAAGCTTCCACGGAAGAGTGGGGATTTGAACCCGGACCTCCCAGATCATAGTTTAACTGCTGTACCACACTGGCTCTCATTGTGGATGAAATGGGAAGCGTTGGTGTTTTGGGAACATCAGTAACATATCAAGTGAGCCTCGGAATGTTCGTGTAAGTGGGACAAGTTTCCAATGAAATGCACATGGCTGTGATTTGATGTATCCCAATGGTTCAACATATGGAACAGACCGTTAACAGCAGTGTTCCCTCTAAACTGAGTTAGTGTGAGCTAGCTCACACTTTTTCAGCCTCCGGCTCACACATATTTGTCTTAGCTCAGGAAGGAGGGCTCTAGAGCAAACTAATTTATGCAGTAGCCAAATGGCTCGCTCACAACTTTAATGCCAGTAGCTCACAAAGCAGAATTTTTGCTCATAAGACTCCACAGCTTAGGGAACATTGGTTAACAGTCAGACCCATCCTGCAGAAGGGCAGTTTGTATAAGATGCCCCTCTTTAAATATCATTCCCCCCGAATCATTTGTGCACTATACAGCCTGGCCTGAGAGATGGAAGCAAAATGGAGACGGAACAAACAAAACGGATGTTGGCCAGAGGCAAGTCTGGGAAACTATTTTGGGTAGGTGACTCAGGGCCACTGACTTGCTAATAGCTGTCTCCCCACCCTAAAAGAGATAATCTCATCAATGGATTTCCTGAGGACACCTCCCATCACCTGGACTTCACCCCGTCCTCATGTGGTTCTGTTTTTCCCTTGCTCATTCACCTTGATTAATGGGCTGTTCATATACCTAGTAGCCTCTCCTGTCTTGCACACAAGGGTCATATACCTTCACACATTTAGTTCACATCTAGCAATCTCTACAAGGGAACATTAGCCCTACTCATGCAAATAATCATGGGTTTCCCTAAGGTTTTTGATAATCCATGGGAGAGTCATTAAGCCTCTTCCAACACATTGTTTTACCCTGGGAAAATTAATCAAAGGTACTGTTTTAGGGGCACACATGTCAGACCAGCTATAATTAGTTTTTCCTATAACTAGACACACTCCCCCCCCCCCCCCCCGCAAAGTGTGGATGTTCTCTCAGCACTAAACATCACACCCCTGCGTAACTGGGCTTCCTCCTCCTCTTTGGGAAATACAGGCCGTTTCTCCAGCTGTCTTCCACAGACCTTGATCTCCAGGACCTGGTAAATATCCCCCTTCCCAAATCACTCTCCTCGCTACTTTCTTTTATCTTTCCCCTCAGTTTGTGTGTTCCCCGTGTGCTTTATGTGTATGCTGTTTTCTTTATTCTTTTTGTAATAAAACTCCTTTTACATAGTGCTGCTGTCTGTTTATTTGAGAGTTCTCAGGGAATAATCCCCATAAACATTGGAGATCTCCTAGTTACCCTCTTGCTAGTCTCCAGTTACACTAATTCTCCCAATTAATTTGGAGACACCTCCCCCCATTCTGGGTAACAAGATGGTGGCCTAGGAAGGAGACATCTGCAAATATGAGGTAAGGCCAGGGTGGTGTATGACCGAGGTCTGGAGTAGAATTTTTTAGCTGGGTCCAAAATGCAATATATTTCAACCCACCTAAAAAGCCAGGTAATGAAAGTCATCCTGCTGTGAACCACACCTTACTCTCTGGTGGTTCTGGGAGTGGGGCAGTAAATGACAAATGGGTACTGGATACAGTAACCAATGAGTACTCACTATAATTCAAGTCCATTCCACCCAGACATTTTCTCCAGATTCTGAAGAATTGGTCCAATCAAAAACACCAGTTTCTGGAGACCGTCATATAGCACCTGCTGGACATCAGGGCTATAGAACTGATACCCAAAGCACAAAGAACTGGAGAGGGTCTACTCAGTGTTCTTAGTGCCAAAGAAGAATGGGGATGTCAGGGCCATACTGGACCTAAAATGGCTGAATAGGCATCAGAACAAGAAACTTCAAGATGGAAACACTCAAATCCATTTTGGCAACCATTCAGAACGAGGACTTCCTGGTGTCCATCAATCTCTCGGAGACCTATTTGCATGTCCCCATACAAGAAGCCCATCACAGGTCCCTACACTTTGCATAAAATGGGAGGGATTTCCTTTCGGTCTGAAGTCATCACCCAAGGTGTTCACCGAGATCCTGGTATTCCTGGTAGCACATCTGAGACTACAGGGAGTTTCTCTATTCCTGTATTTAGATGACATTTTGATCAAGGCACCCTCTCTCCACCAGGGGATTGAAGTGGTAAACAGAACAGTAGCCTGACTTCAAGAACATGGCTTCATAATTAATGAGAAAGAGCAGCTTCCATCCAACTTACACCTGGGAATCCTGGTAGACATAGCCCAGGACAGAGTTTTCCTATCTCAGGAGAGACAGCAAAAGATTCAGACAATGGCAACAGAAGTCCTAAAGAGCCCAAAGGTGGAGGTGATGGTCATGGCAAAACTTCTGGGAATAACGGTGTCCTGCCAGGATGTCCTACAATGGTCATGGTTCCATCTTGCCCACTCCAGAAGTTTCTGCTTTCATATCAAGAGTTGATAGCAGACAAAAGATCAACTAGTGGTTGGATCTTGCCTGGTTTCATGAAGGTCATGAAGAGGATGGTAATGACCACAGATGTGAGTCTGTTGGGCTGTAGGGCACATACCCAAGGAAGGATGACACAGGGACCTGGTCGAAGGAAGAGACAGTCAACAGTATAAGCTTCCTGGAGCTGAGAGCCATCAGACTAGGCCTGACAGATTTCCAGGATCTCCTTTCAGGACACCACGTATTAGTACAGACAGACAATATAACAGCCAAGGCCTACGTGAACAGGCAAGGGTCTACCAAATTCAGATCCCTTCAC